CACTAAGGCAGAAAAATGCAAACATAAATTGAAACTTTTTTTTTTTTGAGACCGGATTTCATGGTGTAGCCCAGGTGAGTCTTCAGCTTAAGATTTTTCCCAACCTGTCTCTCAAGTGCTGGGACTCTAGGTAGGTACCACTTACCGCTGTGACTAGAATGTGAGATTTGATATAACACTGACATGATGACAAAGACCCTGAAAGGCACTATCAAGATGGACACTAAGCCTGACAACCTACGTTTAATTCCTGGGGCGCACTGGGTAGAAGGCGAGAACTGATTTCTGCAAGGTGTCCTGTGACTTCAGCACACTGTGTACTCCTTTTTCTGCTCTCCACTTGCAACACAAGATAAGCAAACAAAGTGTAATAAAATTTTAAAATAAAAGACACCTAGTGCTCGTGTGGGCACATGCCACTTAGTGAAGCCACCCTAAAATTACAGATAACTTATTTTCCTCTCTACACAGTCTTGAGCTGTAGAAAAACATTCTACTTGTTTTACGTGAGGTGAGACCAAAGTTTATTTTTTTAGAGTGATGAATGCAAATTACCGGCATAATTTACTGGCCGAGTATTCTTTTCTCCCCAGATAGTTGTTATTTTCATTATTCCCTTAAACATTTTAAGTTTCCTGTACCATCAATTCAAATGTTGTAACAGGCACCCTTGCTTTTAGTTGTTTGTTTGTTTGTTTTCCATAAGGCATGCCTTCCTGCTTATACAGAAAGAAAGTACGCCGAGTTTCCTCTTCCAGCTGTGAACGTGGCTCTCTGTTGCTGCAGGTGTGACTTCCCATGGCTCAGTAGATCTCCCCAGTGTAGGTCTTTGTGCTTCTGAGGGAAGTATTGACAGGAAGAGGCTGGCCGTGTGGGTGGTGTGAGGATTGCTTTGGGAACTTTGGGGTTCCTGTAAATCATCACCTTTCATAACTGTTGAGAATTTAGAATTCAAGGGACTAAAGCTGGTGAGGCTGAGCAATGGCTGGGCTTGCTGCAGGAAATGCACACAAATGCTAGGATGCCCTGGAAGAGAGAGAGGTGGCAGGCAGGATGCGATAGGTTGCTTGTATAATTGGAGGAGAAGGTGATTCCTCTTATGTGGGAGCTACCGGGCTTCGAGGGGTAGAGAGCAATCAGCTGCAGGAGGTGACTTATGGCCTTGTCAGCCCAATGCATTCATTGTTTACTCACTAATTTGGCAAGTACTTCTCCAGCGCTTGTTAACCTAACGTGTTGGACATTGCTCACGTATGAGCCATATAATGAGAAAGGTGAAGGATAGCTCTACTCTCTTACGGTTTGCATTTGAAGAGAGGCCGGTGTGGCAGCGACTCTACAACTCGGCATCTTAAGGTGGGATGATAGGTAGGGGGTAGTTTGATACTAGTTGTGGCTGGCACAAGGTTAATCTCAGCTACATGTGGAGATCCTGTCTCCAAAAACAAACAGGAGCGATAAGTGTGTGTGCATGTGTATGGCTAATGTCATCAAGAAAAACAAAGACTCTGGGACAGACAGGGAGGACAAGGTCAAGAGCTCTGAGCCCATAAGGGAAGGGTCCAGCTTGTGCTGGCACCCAAGTGGAGGTGAAGCTGCAGGAACTGGGTAAAGCATGCAGGAAGAGCCAGAGTGGCTCAGAGTGCCGGGGGAGCCTACCCAGGCCAGGGGGGTGCTTTCGAGACAAGCATTCCAACAAACTGTTTCTCTATTGTGAAGTTAGGTCGTGTTGATGTTAGCTGCTGCCTGTCCATTTGTGAGCATTTCTATGATTCAGTTTGGGTGGCGTGAGATCCTGTGCATGGATGTGTGTGTGGCTGAGCGAGTCTGCGTGCTTCATATGCTTATGTGTGTGTTGTAGGTATGAATGTTGTGAACATATACTAATGTACTGTTTGTGAGTATGTTTTAGCATGAGCATCTGAGTGATTATGTACCTGGACATTCACCTTTATGTGTCTAAGTATTTATCTGAATTAAAAAAAAATCTCTTTTATGTGCATAGCTGTTACATGTCTCTGCACCTCATGAGTGCAGTACCTGCAAAGGCCAGAAGAGAGCATTGCATTCCCTGGGACTGGAAGTACACACGGTGTCATATGGGTGTTGGGAGTCAAATCTATGAGCTCTGGGAGGCTAGCCATTGCTGTTAGCCTCTGAGCCATCTCTCTCACCCCTGTGTTTGAGTTTTTATGTTTGTACATATACTTGAGAACATGTGATTGCATTTTGTGTTTGAGTTCCTGAGAACAGACTGGGCAGAAAAGATCACAGAAGGAAATGAGCTCACACTGGGGCCCTTTCCTGGTAACCTGGCAGGGACTTTAGCCTTGCCAAGGGTCATAGAACAGAGCTGTGTCACTGATGACATCACAGAATAAAGCCAGGATCCTGGTGACCATGTGGCCACTCAGGCTGGGGCTGTCTGGGGGGCTTCAGCACAGCCCACACCAGCTCTCACTGAGATTCTGGGTTTGAAGTCATAAACGCCATCTCATGGAGCACAGGGGAAAACAGACTCCAGTCAGTGGGACCACCATCAGCATGGCCAGCCCAGAGTCCACAGAGGAGAGCACAGGAGCGTGTTGCCTAGATGGCCAATAGATGGGGAAGGGGCAGGTTGGTCCCTGATGTTGTTACCGGAGTGTGTTGATCATAAAAAGCAGCTGGGGGAAGGGCAGTGAGAAAGCGGTCTTTAGGTGAAACTGGTATTTCTTTTTGTTTGTTTGTTTGATGTTTTTTTTCAAGATGGTCTTTTTTTTTGTTTTGTTTTTCTGTGTAGCCTTGGCTGTCCTGTACTTGCTTTGCAGACCAGGCTGGCCTTGAACTCCTGCCTCTGCCTCCCTAAGTGCTGGGATTATAGGCATGTACCACCGTGCCAGGCTGAAGCTGGTATTTCTTATGTTGTTGTGCACCTGTTTCAGGAGATATGTAGATCAGAATATAACTGTTTACCTTTACGTATTGATTTTGATGTGTTTGAAGGAAAAAATATTAATCCTGTAAGACCTGTAATAACAGAAACATTTCTTTATAGTACATGGATACAAGGTAGTCTAGAATGCCAATTCAATGGCCACCAGGACATGTATGAAGGCAGCACTTTAGAATAAGATCTGCTCTTGGAGCCCAGTGGCTCTGCCCGACATGTAAATCCTCTGCATCCGTTTCCTTCTCTGTGGGATGAAAATCACGATAGTGGAGATTTCTTAGGCTTGTTTTGAATCTCACAGGAATAAAGACACGATTCACACTTACATGGTGACAGGGGGCACAGTATGTGTCCAAGAAGTGGATGAGAGGTCCCCTGAGGCAAAGATGAGTTACAAAGAGAGGAGGAGAAGCTGGGGCCTCCCTGCTCTGCAGCACAGGTCCAGTCTTGATCTTCGAGTGTGTTTTAGTGAACTGGTCTCTGGATACGTGATGGGCACAGTGGAAAGAACTGTGACACTGTGATGTGACAGCCACAGCTATAGCACAGAATAGCATCACGACCCCCAAGAATTCCCCAAGGCACATTTATATGCTGTCCACCCTTCCAGCTCTTGGTAACTGTTCTGTCTCTACAGATTTGCTTTTTCTTGAATGTCTTCTAAGTGGAATCACATGGTGTCTTCTCTCGTTTAGGAGGTGATTATCCGTTGTGTCTGTTGTGCACACATTCCTGGTTCATTGACCTTACCCATGAGTCCACTTGAATTCTGTGGTTGTACCACAGTCTGCTTTTCACCTTACCAATTGCTGGTCTTTCACACCTCGGTTGATAACATTCGCACACTCTTTTATCCTTATCTTCCTATGAGATAGTATTATGGTCCTCTCTGACGGATAACAAGCGCTTTCCCCAAACCCGCCAGAGCCTGTTTGCGGTTTCTCAGGAAAGTTATGCATGGAACCTTGTGAACGCACTGATGAAACTGTACTTCCAATTCTCAGGGACATGAGGAGGAATGAGTCATCTCCGCAGCCAGGGACCGCCTTCCTCCCCGAGGACGACCTCTGCTTGGCAGCCCGGGCACACAAAGTGCTGGGCTGGAGCAGCTCTCCGTCATCCCAGTCGTCCTCAGAGTACCAGTCCTATTCTCAGTACCAGTCCTGGGCCTCCAGGAAACAGGAAGAGGAACAGGAGGCCCCACCCGAGAGCGTGTGTGCCCTGTACACCCATGTGCAGACTGTGCACGGCGTGGCAGTGGCTTGGGAGACTGACGATGGCTTCGAGCCAGTCACCAGGAAGCCCCTCATCCGCGAGGCCGAGTTCATCAAGCGTCAGCGGCGGAAAGGATCCTCCTTCGAGATGGCCTCCAACACAGACCTGCGCTGGGAGCTGGAAGCCTGCAAGCATCGCTGCCCGGAGCCCGAGGAGGCTGCGGACTGCTGCTTGCAGGAGCTGCGAGCACCGCCAGACTGGCTGGTCACCACCAACCACGGCCTGCGCTGCGTGGCCTGCTGCAGGGTCTTCCCCACGCTGGAGGCGCTGCTGGACCACGCCCAGCACGGCATCCGCGATGGCTTCAGCTGCCAGATATTTTACGAGGAGATGTTGGAAAGGAAGCGGGCCCGGGATCAAAAACAGGACCAACAGCCTGTAGAGGAGGAGCAGTGCCCTTCTGACAGTGAATATACCCAGCCTTGCACCAAGGTGCTTTTCCAGCAGCAGCCACAGCAGCAGCAACAGCCACAGCTGCCAAAGCAGCAGCAGCAAGAGCAGCAGCAGCCGCCGCCAGAGGAGCCACAGCCGCCACAGCAGCCACTGGGGGAGTAGAGATTGGTGAGCTGCCCACCCTCTCTCCAGCGTCATGGGTTGCTGTTCCTTTTCCAGACAGCAGGACCAGAGCCACCAGAGCAGGGGGAGAGGACCAGGGTGGTGGTGGGGAAAGCCGTCCATGTGAGCAGCAAAGGTGGGAGGGGTAGGAGCCTTCCCCCAAGGCAGCATTTCCACTAGCATCCATTTCAGAACCCAAATCCAAAGAAGGCTTCAAGAGTTCCTGGTGGTGGATGCAAGATGGGAACAAGCAGCAAACATGTGACTGGGGATTTCTATTTTTGCTGAAGGGTCAGCATCGGTCCACACTTTCTGTTCAGGTACATGTGACTCACGGGGAGCCAACTGCAAATGAAACTTCAGCCCTATTTTTTTCATTGTTAAGAATCTGTCATATGCCCTAATTCTATGTCTTATGTTGTTGGGATTAAACTTGAATAAAACAAAGTGGTACGCAGTGTCTGAGTGAACCATGTTACCGAGATGGGCACATGAATGGCTGTTTGTCTAGGTGACCAGCTGGCAGATGTGAAGAGACATATATCATTACAGAAGCTGGTGCTTGTGAAGTCCTTCTGACTTTACAAATGTCACCATGAAACTGGTCTATGCCCTCCCTCCTAGCCAGAGAGAAACAAAGACACCAGTCAGGGCTGCTGTGTTAGGTATAAGGGTGACGGGGAGCCTATGTTGGTTGAGTAACTCTCACTAGAAATGCCTGGTGTCCAACCATTACACACTCTTCCAGAAGTTAGACTATTTGCATATACACAATGAAATATCTTGGGAATGGGACTATCTCATGAACACCTTATATATTTACTCAGAAGGAGTCTTAACATCTGTATTGTACGTGTTTTTCACTGCTCAATCACGTAGGGTCAAAGGTGAAATCTTCCACTTACGCCATCATTTCGGTGCTCAGAAAGCTTCAAACTGGGAAAGCCATTCATAATTTGCATTTGTGTTTCTGGGATTGGGGACACTCAACCTGTATATGAGCTCCATGATGCCTATGACAAAGTCAGTTTCAAAGCAAAGGGTTAATCTCAAGGTTCAAGGACCCAAGAGGAGGGGCCGAAAGACAAGCTGTTTGATCAGAAGGTGCTCATACACAGGATAAGACAGGGTGAATACTGTGCAAGAAGGGTTGTACAAAGACAGCATGGCCGACACTGTGAGCTAAATGGTTCTTTGTGGAGGCTGGGGTGTTCCTCCTTGTGACAATTAAAAATACACCCAGGTAGTGACCAGATAGTGCCATAGAGGTAAGACTGCTCCTGGTTAAGAATGAGTTAGGCAAAATGAGCACCTTGGGAGTCATTACTCGGTGCATTTCGAGAACTGCCAGCCACTCATGCCAGCAGCAGGGCTGGAGGCATTGCTCTCCACCCTTTCAATGAAGAGGCAGCACCTACCATGTGGCAGATGCCAACTAGGCACAGGAGCAAGAAGGGGATAAAAGGAATGAAAAAATGTGGGTACTGTTTTGAGGATCATATGGCCAGTGAGTGAATTAAAAATAATTGCAAAAGCACTTTCCCCTGACCTCTGGGGCCCTGCTTCTGCATGATCTGCTTCTCTTGCTAGGCTCTAGCCACACCTGGACTATCTTAAAGAGCCTAAGATATCAAGCCTCAGAGCCTTGGCACAGGTACTCATGAAGGGAGTGGTCCTTCCCTGTCTTGTGGCCAACACGTTGCTCCTCTCTGGGATTTTCTCAACCATGTCACCTTAGCTTCCTCATTCTGTGTGCTGGTTTAAGAAGACTGTTAGGCCCAGCAAGAGCCTAAATATAAGAAGGTATGAAGAGAACTCAGGAAACTAATCATCCATCGATGCAAAAACACAAGAGACTCTTCTTGACCATTGCGCAATGGGGTCACCCCTGCTGGTCAGCTAGGAGTGGCACCGGCAGACAAAGACCTTAGGTTTTTAAAAGACACAAGGCGGGAATCTCCTGGCATTGCCTTCTTGGCGATTTAGGATTGGATGAGGTGTTTAACTTTTAAAATAATTGGTTAGTTCTGGTCACCCTTAGGTCCAGTCAGCCCTGTCGTAAATATCTGATTTTCAAGTCAGTTTGGAATTTCCTGCCATCCACAGTTAAATGTGGGAGGGTGATTAACTCATCCCATGTCTGTTCTGAGGAGTGGGGGTTACAGGCTTTGGATCAAAGGTCAGGAGAAGGATTGGGGCCATTTGGCCCAGTTTCCAAACAAAGCCCATCTCACCGGCGCCAGCTGGTGATTTTTTTTTTCCATTTAGTAGAGATCTCTGCTTGTTCTCTTATCTCTGCCCTCACAGATGGCTAATGTTAGGAACTTTTACATTCTTCGGTTCTCTGGAGAAGCACTAAGAGGCTTTAATTAACATGGGCCTAAAACTTGCAAATATAAGTTATAAGGCAATTAAAAGAAACATAGGTTACAAAGTTAGTCTGATTCTTTCAAGACAAGTGACAGGATCAGGCCCATGGGTTTAAAGGCACACTGTAGAGTGTACGAATCGGGATAGTAGTTGGACAGTGATGGTGCACTCCTTTAATCCCAGCACTTGGGAGGCAGAGGCAGGAGGATCTCTCTGAGTGCAAGGTGAGCCTAGTCTACAGAGTAAGTTCTGGGACAGCCAAGGCTACACAGAAACCCTTGTTGTGGGTATTAATATTTACTATTGATATATCTTTTAGCTAAGTTGCCATTATTCCTAAACCAGCTGTATACCCAAATCACCATACAGAGTCTGGGATTTATTTAATTAACCTAGAGTACAATGCTGGGCAATGATTATTCCATCCTAAACCTCCAAGCCTACCTAGTTTCCTACCATTCATATTTCACCCATTATACTTGCTTTTAGTCATATCTTAGGTCTGGTTTATTTCTCCACATAGTTCCAAGATCTCTCTCCAGATTCTCCTTCCTTCCTCCTCTTCCTCTCTCTCTTCCCTCCAGACCAGGATGTCCCAACCTATCCTCTCCATTGCACAGCATTGGGGCTGGTTGTTTAACTGACAATATAGAGAACAAATGGTGGCATGTTTACACCAACTTGAGACAGGTGATGCTTCGAATAAGCATCACAATGCAATGCCCACATTGAAACCAGGTAGTGGGATAGAGAAATCAGCATTTGAATGAACAAGGATAAACTGTATACTTTCAAAAGAACATTATACCAACAAACCCTGCATGGAAAAAACAAACAAAAACCGAAACCAAAACCAACAAAAGAAGTGGGATGGTAACAAAAGGAGAAAGTGAGAGGTGGGGAGATTTGCAATGTAGTGCAGGAATCTAGGCCAAGGATTAGTGATGATTTGGATAGGAAAAAAGCAATGGGGTCATTCAAGACATATTTGGGGAATCAAGTATTTGGAGACTAAGGAAAGGGCATGCCAAGGTGGAGTATCTAGGTGAAAGCAGGAGATAATGCTTGCTGACTGGTATGGGAGGCTTTGGTGGAAGATTGGAGTGTGTCTATGTGGACATGTGGGCACGCACGTATGTGTGAACATGTTTGTGAGCATGCACATGTGCCTTATGTGACCGTGTCTGGGTCTACATGTGGACATAGTTCTGAGAGAGCGGTCATCTGGGACATGTGAATTCTAAATACTAAGGGCAAGTTCAAGTATAGATGTTGACTGTGACATAGTTTCTGAGTTAGACAGTTAAACTGGCAGACAAGCCTGACTCCACTGAAATGAGGATGCTGACAGACTCCCAACAGCAATGAATGGGACTCTAGGGAGCTGGAGTGGAGTTGGACAGCGTGGGCTGGGAAATAGAACTGGGTAGGTGAGGCTGGGGAGACAGCTCATCTTACACGAAAAAGGTCAAGAAGTGGGGAGGGGGTGCTTCATAGGATTTTTTTTTCCTGAGCCAACTGATGATATAAGGAAATATTTCTTTCAGAAATGGTAAGCTGCCGGGGGTGGGGTTGAATGAGCTGAGGACTAAGCTGTTTTTATTTCCTTTGGGTTTTATGAAGCAGGCTCAGTGGCTAAGAAGAGCAGAGGTAAGGTGGGCACTGGTCAGGTTTAGACATGAGACAAATCTCTAGTGGTAAGCTTGAACCACCATGACGGCAAGGCAATGATGGATCAGAAAGAAACTGAGAACAGAAACAAGTGTGTGTGCTAATGAAAATCCCAATGGAGAAGAGAAGGAGAAATGCAAGACAAAGCCAGGGAAATCCAAGACCCAGGCAAGAAGGAAAGGAAAAAGAGAGAAAAAAAAAAGACCTGAAAATGATCAGTTTTGTGTCCTGTTGCATGCTAGGTTAAGTAGGGCTTGACAGTACAACTCATGAAACCCGAGTTCCTAACCCTTGGATATATCAAGGAGCTCTTGAATGTTAGGCAAATCACACTAAACTTGTGAAAGATATTGATGAACAAAGCAAAGGATAGAATAGCATGGCTGGGGACAAGGGGTCCAGGTGATCTGGCAGCTGGAGAAATTCGAGGGAAATTCAGAACATTGTGACTATGGAGTCTGGCTGGTGTCCGCTGAGGGGGCTCACCTGGGATTTTTCTCTGGGGGAGGCGGGTCGTAAAAGAATAGAGTGGGGGTTGAAAAAAGAAGATGAATTAGGATGCTGGGTGGTAAGTTTGAGAAGCATCTAGAGGGGAGCTGGTTTGAAAGGTGTGGGATGTGGAGATGATTTGTGATCACCTACGCATGTTTGGTTAACTGAGACCATGATGTGCCCCATGGGCCTCATGTAGGATGTATTTCCTCTGTTGGTTCCAGAGAACCAGCCATGAGGATCTTACCAGTTCTAAAAGGCTTTAAATGTGCTTTAAAAGACGCTAGAGGATCTATATTGTCTGAGTCATAGAAAAGCTATTTACATAGGAGAGAACTCAGGAAGAATCCAAGGACAGTCCAAGGAAAGAGGAGACTGCTGAGCTAGAAACAGTACTGAGAGGAACTATTTTTATGTGAAATTCAGGAGGCAAAGAAACTAAGGTCAGACACAGTAGCCAATACCTA